TTTTCTCAGATGAGAAAAAGTTTAACCTGGATGGCCCGGATGGCCAAGCATATTATTGGCATGATACAAGAAAGAATCCCAGGGTCAAATTCAGTAGACAACAAGGTGGAGGTTCAGTAATGATCTGGGCAGCAATCGGATATGAAGGAAAAACAATTTGGCATTTATTAATGGGCGAATGAATTCTGAGATGTACCAAGCTATCTTATATGAACATCTAATCCCATTTGGTCCTCTCATTGGTGGTCAAGACTGGATCTATCAACAGGACAATGCATCTGTTCACAAGTCAGCCAGTACTACAAAGTGGTTTTCACGAAAAAATTGAAGTTATGGTTTGGCCAACACATAGTCCAGACCTTAATCCCATTGAAAACCTTTGGAGTCAACTTGTGGCATTAGTTTATCGCCGTGGAAAACAATACAACACATCCGATGAACTTAAAGTTGCATTGTATAATGCCTGGGACAAAATTAAACAAAGTGACATTCAAAACCTGGTTGATTCAATGCCTAAACGAGTTGTGGAGGTAATTGAAAACAAGGGAGGGTCCACAAAGTATTAAAAACGTACTAAATCACCCTTGAGTTTATAAATTGTTTACAGCAAAAAATTGTAACAATTAAAATTTTTGATTGTTTATTAAAATGATACAATACAAAGACTTGTTTATTTCATTATAAATTCGTAACACTAAATAAAATCATTAGATATAGCAACAATGAACTATGGATGAAAAGAAATTAAAACACAGAGAAATTTCACTTGAGTTTATAATTTCTTTACAGACTGTACGACAACAACATATGTCATAAGTTACCAGCAACCAAATTTTTCAACTGGCTGCAATGCCACAAGCAGACATGGCAACAAAACAAAATCAGTACATAAAATACACCCTGTATTTTAAAGCGTTTTTAGAATTTGCATTTTAGGCTACTGCATACACCTAAATAAATTCTAAGATTTGCCTGTTTTTATGACTTATTTGAATGTGTTTAGCAACACTTGGTTTTTCATTTCAACTTCCTTCCATGAGTGAAACAGTCAGAAAAAATTTAAAGTTTCAAAGTTTGTTAACATGACTACAGTATACTCCTTTCAATATTGAATAGTTTTTTATGCCATTTGGTGTTAAGAGTTAGAAGTATTTTGGTGTTTAAATGAAAATGTTAAATGAAAAATAAAATGTGTGTAAATAGTGTAAATGTATTAAATTTGCTGTTAATAAGTTAGTGTCCTCCCTCCAATTTATTAACTAAAATTGTAATATTTTTTTAATCATATCCTGTTACAGGAATTGATTTATTGTATTACTGGTTTTAAGGTATGAAACTAAACTACCATTTTTTCCATACATACAGTATCTTTTTTTATGTGTATTTTTCAGAAAAGTATATAACATGTTAAAACAAAACTGGATATATACAGCTTGATTTTTATTGAAAATAATAATATATCTGTTGTGTTTTGAAATGCTTGAAAATAAAAATTTGATTGCCAGAAGTCTGCTATTGTTTAATTTATGAAATTGTTATTACATTATATAAATGATTTAATTTTCTATAATAATTGAGCTAAACTTTAAGTAGCATTAATAGTTCTAGATAAGTACGAGCTACTATAAAATTACAGCAATATATCAAAGAATTAATTGGCTAATAAGTCAATCCGTGATTTGTTTCGATGGTGGCACATTATAGTTATATATTAGCTGTTGAAAATTTGATATAAAGGACAAACTAATACAGCAGAAACTACTTACATACTGAAAACTTTGATTAAAAGTCTTTATTAATTTTTATCCAATCTTTATTCTATTGAGATTAATATTTTCTAAGTAAATTTCGTTCAAACTAGAAATTAAAAAAAAAGAAGAAAAACTTGATCTATGTTGATGTAATTATTGATTTTTATGTTAAGAAATGAAGTTTAGTCTTTAATCTGTTCATTTCAAAAGATGACATCAGCTAAAATTACTTCAACCTTTCATTCCTTTCAAAAATGAAACTCTGCAAAATGTTATTCGAATAAGCTTTAAAACTGAANCCCCCCTAATTAATTAAATTAATATATAAAAAATCGATTGATTAAAAAAATTAAAAAACTTTTGGAGGTCGTTTTTGACATCAGAAAGCAGCTTTAAATAACTTTACCGAAGTCAAATCCGTGCGCTACAACTTAGGAACCATGAAATAAATTTGATAAAAAAATTCCCATTAAAAAACAATTAAGCCTTAATCGAGCCTTATCAAAGACTCATTAAAATCGCAATAAAATTTTTTCGCGCGAGCAAAAAATTTTGAAATTAATAACTAACTCCTGTGTTAAACCATCTGACTCCGATTTAAAAACCACAGAAATTATTAGGCTTCAAACAGGATGAACAAAATCATGCCCCACACACACAGTCTAACATCCACACATATAGAAAAAACCTCAAATCTTTTGCATATCTCGAAATTTCAAGGTGTCCTGAGTCCAAAAATTTGGGAGGGGTCATTTTTTGAGTTAGTGTTACACTTTTCCTCTGTTATATATAACAGCCGGAAAAGTAAAAATTATCGAATGCATATTTATATATTACTTTGAGAAGTCTTTTAGCTTTGGAATAAAAAGTTTCTATGCTCTATCTTTATTAGAACTCTACTTATTGAATCTTTTATTCTGAGGTCATGTGATGACATCAGAATTTCTGGGTTTCTTTCATCCACCCCTGGTCGGAGTTGGATGGTAAGGAAGAGTCGGAGTTGGAGTCGGTAGATTTTAATGCGACTCCACAGCCCTGGTCTTTTGTTTGAACATCACGCAACTCTTGATTACTCACTCCCCACTATTGTTCAGCTTACATGTTCGGATGTGTTGCACGAAATTGACACATAGCTAGGCCTACTATTTATTTTGTGTTATTTCTGTGTTTGTTATATTGTGGTCATATGCACATAGTGAGGTTTATTTTTACAAAGATGCATATGGTAAAACAATAAAACGTGCTTTTATTTTGCCGGTATATTTTCACTTTACAGGATCATCTGGATTCCGACACTCCTAATTTCCTCTCAAAACAAAACCTTTTTGAGTCCACAGTCAGAATAAAATTATCGCGATACAAAGAAAATACTTATCAATAACTTAAATCTACTTATTCTAATAAGGGAAAGAGAGAAAAGGATAGATAATAGGATAGATAGAAATATAGTTTCAAGCAAGAATGGATACCCAAGTTGGCGATCAAAGTGGCAATGGTCGGATGATGTCATCCTGGATTGGGGGGGCGATTGTATGTGAAAGCCGATCAATATTTCGTTTGGCTTTTCAGTGTTCAGATGTCCTTAATCACGATACTTCTTTCCTCTTTGGGCCTTGTACCTTCTTTTCTTTCGAACCTTTCATTACATTCTCCAGTCAGTGCAAAAAAATGACCTGGAGACCTCTCCGACGTGTCTTCCCTTTTCCAGGTCTCAAGCAAAAAGTGACCCTCTCGTCTCTCCCTCTTGCCTCTGGGCTATTCCTTTCCTTTGTCCTCTAACCAGATCACCCATCAACCATACTTGGAAGAAAGTTCCAGGAAGTATAAACAAATGAAAAAAGGACAAAGAAGGAAGGAAGGAAAAATAGAAAAAAATATATAAAACATATATGAAAAAATAAAAAAATACATTGGTGTACCAGCACAATATCTACGGAGACTTGAGAGACTCTATGTGATGATTTCTTGTAACCATGAACGAATCAAAAGACGATATAAGATTAACGAGAACATTTATTAGCTTACATACATTCGACTTGGATTTTACACAAATTGCGAAATTATACCCCAACTTATGTGAATTCAACTTACACAGTTATCGCTCAGTCCCACCTCGCTCGGTTATCACATAAGTTCGAGGTATTACTGTAATTATATAAGAAAGGAATGAAACTGGAACCTTAATTAAATGAAAAGAAAACTCAAACAGCTTCAGCTAAATAGTAGTCTGAAAATGTACCTAATAAATCTTTATTTTTGACTTTGTTAACAAACAGTCTATTTTTTTTTAATATATATATTTATATATAATTGTAAATTCAAAATTTTGTGTTTTAAATATTTATATGATTTAATTTTTAGGCTTGATGATAATCAACCAGGAACTCCTTTAGCTGATGAACCACCTGTTGATTTAGAAACTGAGTTGGTTACAGATCAGAAATTGTCTACTGATGCATTGCAGAACACATTAGATTCTCCTTATGTTTCATCACTTCCTATTGATGGTGTTTGTATTGAAAGTCAAGGTGATAATTCACTATCTCCAAGAATGGATAATATATCAGGAAACACTATTATGACAATTACTACACGTGGTCCAAAATATATGCATTCGGTAAGTTAAAGCAAAAGATTTCATCATGTTAAAAATTAATGTCATTACATCATGTCATTACATATTAAACACTCTTAAATGCTAGTAAGTTTTAATGAGTCATTCCATAATATATTTTAAGAATATAGAATAGTTTTATATTTTTTTATGATTGGAATTCTTTAAAGATTAAATAAATTATTTTTAAAATTTTAGGGATTCAATACTTACAGTGGATGTCTTCAAAATCAACATTCAAGACAGTATCAGTCACGATCTAATTCTTCTAGAGGACCGTCCCATGGTAAATTTTGAATTGAATTTTAAATATGTGATTTATTGTACTAATTATGAATAAACAACTTTAACTTCAACTTATTACTTTCCTGGCTGTTATATATAACAAAAATAAAGTATGGTGATCAGTCAAAAAATGACCCCCAAGACATTTTTGGACTTAGAACAACTTGAAGCATCAAGAGAAATGCAAAAAAAAATATGGGGATAATTTCTGTGTGTATGGATGCTTGTGTGTGTGGTGCACAGTTTTGTTCACCCTGTTTGAAGATTAATAACCTGGGATATTACATCATCTTGTTAGAACCACATATGCTGCAATCCTTATATCAGTTTTAGGCAAAAGAAAGTTTTGTAACACTGTTCTATAGCAATAAGCAGTCAAAGTAACAACATTTTTGTTGTCATCTTCAAAGAGGGTCCAATGATGTCATCAGCCGAAATTACATACCAGTTACTTTACTAGGGTGAATAGGTCATTCATGAATTAATCTTGGGTTTTCTGTTACCCAGACTGACTATTCTGTTTGTTAACAGATCCACTTAAATCAAAATTATCTTTGTCACACATAATGAAATTTTCAAAGAAATTTGGGTTTTCAATACTCATCTGTAACACTTCTGAATTCCATTCATGGTGGCATTTATGGTCATTTTGCAACTGTAGTATTAAATGAATCTTGTATAAGTGAAACTGCAGATCCTTCCATAAAATTTTCCATGCAGTTGTTGAAGTAGCACCAATTTCTTGTGTTGTCTAACAAAGGTCCTGGATATATATCAACACTTTTCCTCATAGCATCAATGTTTTGTGGAGTAAATCTTGCAGAGTATATTGCATTTGAAAATTATTGATTATACTCTGAATTCTTGGCTTTGAAGTAACGATATATACCCCAAAATAATCTCAGTTTTCTTTGATGATATATTTTGATTAAAAGTTTTAATAATTATAATAGAGCATTTGATACAGTCTGTAAAGAAATTATAAACTCAAGTGAAATTTCTCTGTGTTTTAATTTCTTTTCATCCACAGTTCGTTGTTGCTATATCTAATGATTTTAATTAGTGTTACGAATTTATAATGAAATAAACAAGTCTTTGTATTGTATCATTTTAATAAACAATCAAAAATTTTAATTGTTACAATTTTTTGTTGTAAACAATTTATAAACTCAAGGGTGAAAACTGATTATTACAGTTGAATGGAACAATCCATTCAACTGTAATAGTAATGTAAATTAGTATGTGTAACATTTTGGGTGAGTCTGAGAATTCAAACTAAAAAAGTGACAAAAATGCCAAGGGGAATAACCCTAACTGAAAGTGAAATATGAAAAATCTATTTCTTTAAGGGAAAAGGATGGCCAACTCGAAAAATTGCTTCAAAACTTGGTAGATCTCAAACTGCAGTACAAAATGTACTAAAAAAGGGTGACAATTATAACAAAATTAAACGTACAGGACGAAAACCAAGTCTGCAGCCTCATGACCATTGCCGCATTGCTAGTCTTGCAACAAATGAATCATTGTCTACTCGTGAGATAGCTGCAGTTTTACCAACTCCAGTGTCCCACAAAACTGTGTAGAAAAGCTTGAGAAAGAATAAAACAATAAACTTTAGGAAATTGAAGTCCAAACCAAAGCTACAGAGTTACATCGGTCAACAAGGCTGCAATGGGCAAAAGATCATGTTAATTGGACAACTGAATGGATAAAAATAATTTTCTCAGATGAGAAAAAGTTTAACCTGGATGGCCCGGATGGCCAAGCATATTATTGGCATGATACAAGAAAAAATCCCAGGGTCAAATTCAGTAGACAACAAGGTGGAGGTTCAGTAATGATCTGGGCAGCAATCGGATATGAAGGAAAAACAATTTGGCATTTATTAATGGGCGAATGAATTCTGAGATGTACCAAGCTATCTTATATGAACATCTAATCCCATTTGGTCCTCTCATTGGCGGTCAAGACTGGATCTATCAACAGGACAATGCATCTGTTCACAAGTCAGCCAGTACTACAAAGTGGTTTTCACGAAAAAATTGAAGTTATGGTTTGGCCAACACATAGTCCAGACCTTAATCCCATTGAAAACCTTTGGAGTCAACTTGTGGCATTAGTTTATCGCCGTGGAAAACAATACAACACATCCGATGAACTTAAAGTTGCATTGTATAATGCCTGGGACAAAATTAAACAAAGTGACATTCAAAACCTGGTTGATTCAATGCCTAAACGAGTTGTGGAGGTAATTGAAAACAAGGGAGGGTCCACAAAGTATTAAAAACGTACTAAATCACCCTTGAGTTTATAAATTGTTTACAGCAAAAAATTGTAACAATTAAAATTTTTGATTGTTTATTAAAATGATACAATACAAAGACTTGTTTATTTCATTATAAATTCGTAACACTAAATAAAATCATTAGATATAGCAACAATGAACTATGGATGAAAAGAAATTAAAACACAGAGAAATTTCACTTGAGTTTATAATTTCTTTACAGACTGTAGAACAACAACATATGTCATAAGTTACCAGCAACCAAATTTTTCAACTGGCTGCAATGCCACAAGCAGACATGGCAACAAAACAAAATCAGTACATAAAATACACCCTGTATTTTAAAGCGTTTTTAGAATTTGCATTTTAGGCTACTGCATACACCTAAATAAATTCTAAGATTTGCCTGTTTTTATGACTTATTTGAATGTGTTTAGCAACACTTGGTTTTTCATTTCAACTTCCTTCCATGAGTGAAACAGTCAGAAAAAATTTAAAGTTTCAAAGTTTGTTAACATGACTACAGTATACTCCTTTCAATATTGAATAGTTTTTTATGCCATTTGGTGTTAAGAGTTAGAAGTATTTTGGTGTTTAAATGAAAATGTTAAATGAAAAATAAAATGTGTGTAAATAGTGTAAATGTATTAAATTTGCTGTTAATAAGTTAGTGTCCTCCCTCCAATTTATTAACTAAAATTGTAATATTTTTTTAATCATATCCTGTTACAGGAATTGATTTATTGTATTACTGGTTTTAAGGTATGAAACTAAACTACCATTTTTTCCATACATACAGTATCTTTTTTTATGTGTATTTTTCAGAAAAGTATATAACATGTTAAAACAAAACTGGATATATACAGCTTGATTTTTATTGAAAATAATAATATATCTGTTGTGTTTTGAAATGCTTGAAAATAAAAATTTGATTGCCAGAAGTCTGCTATTGTTTAATTTATGAAATTGTTATTACATTATATAAATGATTTAATTATGTACAATAATGAAATTTCTTTATAATCTGAAAAAAAGTAAATTGAATTTAAAAAAAAATAAATGAAATAAAAACAATTTAATTTTGTTTTAATTATTAATATTTTAAGGATCATCTCGTACTTCTCGGTCTTCACGAAATTCATATGGAACTCCTCCAAGAGAACGTTATAGACAAGCAAGAATGGAGCGAATAGAACGGTATATTTATTTTATATTGAAATTTTTAATGGATTATTATATTATTTTAGTATTTAGAATTAATATGTGTGTGTGTGTGTGTGTGTGTAAAATATACTGGTCTCATCTTGTTTATCCTTCATGAAAATCAGGCATTCTGCATGAAAACATTAATTCAGGGTTTATTTTTCTTATAATGCATTACAATGCCAATATAAAACCAATTAGTTTCCTAAAATAAAATAAACTGTTATTTAAACATATATTTATCATGTTAGTTTGCAAAATGCTTAAAACATTGTTTGCTGATCAAGAAGCAATGGTGATTGTTAACAAACTATGCAATAATGTTTACTCTGTAAGCAATATCTTAAGCATAACATTTACAATTCATGACAGTAAATAACATTCAATGTTAAAGAAATTTAGAAAAAAATCATGCAAAAATTTACAATAATAAGCTTGATTTGTAAATTTGGAAGATCAATTCAAATATATTTAAAAAGAAAAGTCACTTTAAAATAATAAATATAATAAAAATTACTGTTATCTTTTATTATCTCAGTACTAAAGAGTTCATTGTATTTATTATTATTGTGTATTTCTACCACTGAAGAGGAACTGTTAATTGATACAATTCGAAATGCATATGGTTTAAGTACATCTCTAATTAATTCGATAATTAAAAAAAGGACTGTCGAAAAGATCAGAGTAAGTTTTATTATATTTATTATTTTAAAGTGACTTTTCTTTTTAAAAATTTTTTAAAATTATATGTATATAAATATATTCTTTTTTAAAAAACTTGATGTCACTAAAGTACGTTTAGGCTTCTGTTATAGATGTTAGTATGGTTTTGTGATATCTTTCCTAGCATCAAAAACAACCAAATCACAAATCCATATTATTGTTAATTGATGCACTTTTCAAAATAAATATACAGTTTAACCTGCTTATAACATCATCCATGGGACCGGCAATTTTTTGATGTTATAACCGAGTGTCATTATCTGCGGGGTCATAATTTCAGTCCCATAAAAGTATCAAGTCTGTTTAAGAATCTATTATAAAATTCGTCTAATTTAATATCGTATGTATAAAGGTGCAAACTAAGTATTTAAATCAACTTTATTTACATTATTATGTCTAAATTTACAACGATGTAATTAAAAATTTCAAAAATTATTTTTTATAAAAAATTTTTATTTGTCAAGTTTCGATAATGGTGGCACTTTCGGTTTTAAGAATAATGTGGAATCAAAAGACAACAAAAAGTTAAATTAAGCAAGAAATGAGAAAATTATCATCCAGGTGTTATTAATGCCTGGATGATAATTTTCTCATTTCTTGCTTATCTATCAATAGACATGAAGTCCAATATCTTTCACTTTTATGTTAATGTATATCAATTAAAAAGAAACAATAAAAATATTCACTTAAAAAAAGTCAGTTATTTTAGATTGTAAGCATTTTTCACCTAAAAATTGTTTATCAATGTCATTTTCTAAGTCGTAGATTTTGTTCATTATTTCCATGAAGTTTTACGAGACCTGTAGAATTTGCTAAACCAAAGTCTCTGCATACATCTGCCTTTTTTCTTCCACTTTCAACTGCTTTAATTATTTCTACTTTGCAGTCTAATGTTAATGCTTTCCTTTTTAAGCTAGCCATTTTACCTGATTTGATGCTAAACTACAACACGAGTATGAGAGCTATGCGGAATAACCCACTGTCACGTCGTTTAAAGGGGTGGCGCATCTCACCCCATTGAATCAGGTGGTGACAGTACCACCCACAATCATTCTAGGAAGCGGACTGACCCTAGGACTGAACACATAGTATTTTCTTTGATAAATAAAATTTATAATTTATTTTTGTAAATTTAAGAATGCTTCAAATATGATGTTAAAACAGGGTTTTATGTCGTTACAAGTGGGTTTTTTAACATTATCTAGTATAGTAAAATCGTGGGACCGATAAAAATTTGACGTTATATTAGGGTTGTCGTTACATCCGATGTCGTTATAATCGGGTTAAACTGTATATGTAAATCAAGAAATCTGCATATTAATTATATTTGCTTTATAGTCACTGACATCTCAGGAAACAAAATTCATAAATCATCCTGTATCAAACTGCAGCAAATGCATTCATTCATCACTGAAGAACTTGTTTTAAGTAAATTAAAAAATTTATGTAAAGCCAAACAATTGCCAAATTATATCAGGCAATACTACTACTACTACTAATTAAATGCTAAGTAATTTGGCATTAGAGGCAGGTATTAGGCACCATCTCTTGCTAAATTTAATAATTATAATTA